CATGGAGATGGCAGCTAAAGGGATCAAACCGGTCACCCTGGAGCTGGGGGGCAAATCCCCCCTTATCATCTTTTCAGACTGTGCCTTGGAGAACGCCGTGAACGGAGCCCTCATGGCCAACTTCCTTACGCAGGGCGAGGTGCGTGTCCGTGGGGCAGGAGCCGTCCTCCCCAGCGGGGTGGGGTGGTGTGAGGGTGGGGCAGCAGAGCCAGCTGGTGGCCTCGCGTGGTGAGGGGTGCCCTGAAGCTCCCGCCTGCCCACGTGTTTCCCTGTGCAGTGTCACAAGGGATCAGAGGGGGTGACCTTGCAGAAGCTGGTTCAGAACATGCCAGCCAATGGTCCTTCCCAGGCATGGAGCCTCTCTAACCCCTGGCACCCAGCTCAGAGCAGCTGCTTCTGTGCCCTGGGCTCCACTCCGGTGCACAGAAGTCAGAAGAGGCTGTACTGGTGTCCTCTGGAAGGGCAGTAGGTTCCAGTCTGTGTGCTGAGCCACAGCCCCATGGGGCTCTGTCCGACCCAAATTTGGGGTCTCCACATGTGCTGTGAGTTTTGTGTAATCCTGCTGGCAAACTGGTTTACTGGGGTAATCTCTGGGAATGGAGAAGTCAGATCATGTTCTGTTCTGCTAGGGGCTTGATGCAGTTTTGTCATCAAAACTGGTGGCATCAGTACCATTATGTACAGCATGGACTGTTCAGTGCAGTTGTGAGCAGCAGAATCATCTAGTCATCTTATCTCCAGGGACAACGGCTGTTTTAGCAGCTGTGGAGGAGCTTTTCCGAGGGCCTCTGCAGCAGGGCAGGACTGTGGGATACTGTGTGTTTTACTCTGAACAGCCTGTCCTGTATCCCAGGTATGCTGCAATGGCACACGAGTGTTTGTGGAGAGGAAGATACTGGATGCCTTCACAAAGGAGGTGGTGAAACGCACCCAGAAAATCAAAATTGGAGACCCGCTTCTGGAAGACACACGGATGGGAGCCCTCATCAACCGGCCCCACCTGGATCGTGTCCAGGGTTTTATCAAGCAGGCAAAAGAGCAGGTGGGATTGTGATGCTGCCTTGTGACTGACCTCAAACACCTCTGTTTCTTCTGAAATACTGGCAGCTCCTGTCCTGCCCCATGCCTTCCCAGTTAAGCTGGTTGCTTATTTTTGTTGTGGTTGAATTACTCCATAAATGTCTTGGGCCACTAGATGAAAAGCGATTCGGTGCACGAGTCTGGATCAGCACTGAAGGTGTGAGAAGCGAGTGACACAGCTTTTCATGCCCTGATGTTGCTGAGGTTGTGAAATACCCAGCACAGCAGTGTGTAACATGGGATAACCCAGAACATTTGGGGTGGTTCCAAGTTGTGGTGACACCTTCATGTTGGGCTGTTATCTCATTTGGGTTCTAGTTTTGTTGGTTGGAGAAAAGATCTTACTAAGGATCAAAGGCCAAATTTACAGGCTGGTAGAAACAATCTCTGTAAGAGCAATACGATCTAGCCAGACTTTGTGCTGTTTGTTCTTTTTATTTCCTCCAGGTTTTATGGTGAAGTGTAAAGCTGTTTTAAATGTCAGCGCTAGGTATATGGCTAGGTGTAGCCAATTTGGGGATCAGCTGGAGAAGTGGAACTGAGAGTGAAAACCAGGAGAGCTAGATGAGGATTTGGGAACAGGAAGAGAGATGTGGAAGGAGATACGTGGGGAAGGAGGGGAGAAATCCCCGTCTCTAAAGCAGGGCATTTGATGGAGGTAGGTGTTTCTTGCGAGGTGGAGTGCTAAGGGACTGGTTGCTTCACTAACAAGGGAATTCATAGAGCCATAGAATGGTTTGGGTTGGAAAGGACCTTAAAGATCATCAAGTTCCAACCATCTTGCCATGGCAGGGACACCTCCCACTAGATCAGGTTGCGCAAAGCCTTGTCCAGTCTGGTCTTGAGCACTTCCAAGGATGAGGCATCCACAGCTTCTCTGGGCAACCTGTTCCAGTGTCTCACCACCCTCAGTGAAAGAGCTTTCTCCTTATATCTGATCTAAATCTACCCTCTTTCAGTTTGAAACGGTTACCCCTTCTCCTATTACTACACTCTCTGATTAACACCATGTGAAGATATAGAAGTTCATGTGATGGCATCGAAGGATCTGCTCCTAGTTGCAGTTGCTTCCCTCTAACGTATGCTGGCTTCTGTGTCACTTGCACCCCAAAGTAGCGTTGCTTGGACTTTTAGGATGGATCTCACCCTCTGACCCCCATCTATCAGTGATGCTCTGGCAGCAGGCCTGACCAGGAGAGGCACCAGGCAGGGCAGAGGCGTGGTTTGTCCGACAGGGCTGCAGACCCTGCAGAGAATGCTGCCAGCTGGAGCCAGGGCAGCTGGGCGGGACGCAGCTGCTGATGCTCACGTGGCTCTTTTCCAGGGGGCAGAGGTGCTGTGTGGTGGGGACCTGTACGTGCCAGATGACCCGAAGCTGAAGAACGGCTACTACATGCGACCCTGCGTGTTAGGTACAACCCTCCCTGCTCATGGTGCTGCGTCTTGGTCTTGTATGTGCGCGTCACTGGGTTTCTCCTCGAGAAAGCCGTGTTCAGCATAACCCAGCTGTGTCTCTCCAGTGGGGACAGGCACTCTCATGGGTGCTGGAGAGCTGAGGCACCCGGGAACGGCATCCAGGTCTGACAGGGCACATGCAGTTTGTGCCTCTGCTGTCTTGAGATGCAGGATGGGACTTGTTCCTCTGCTGGCCAAGCTGGCGGGGGCTGTGCAGTGTTGAGGGCTGCCTCAAATCCTGGGTGGGTTGCTGAATGCACAGGCTGTGCCACCAACTCTTCTTCCTCTTCCTGAAGCTTGTGTGCTCTGCCTCGCTTCCAGGGAAGTGCACAGACGACATGACGTGTGTGAAGGAGGAGATCTTTGGGCCAGTCATGTCCATTCTGCCATTTGACACAGAGGAGGAGGTTTTGGAGAGAGCAAACAACACCAAGTTTGGCCTGGCAGGCGGTGTCTTCACCAGGTAGGACTGGGTAGCATGGCTGCTGTAGAAATTGTCTAGGGAGGGGAGGAGAAGGGAGATACTGCAGCAGCTTGGTGCTCCTCCACGGATGATACATCCACAGGTATAGTCTCCCACAAAAGCTGGAGCAGGGAATTGCCAAAAAAGCACTTTGCATATGACTGCGCATCTCCTCCCAGTTTTTCCTGAAGGGTTAGGTGGGCCCAGCTGTCCTTCAGACTCTTTCCAGCCTGCACTTGGCCTGCTGCCTGCCTGCATCTCCAGGAGATGTGCAGCACGAGCTGCCATGCTGCTGGAAGCACGCAGAGGGCTGCTGGCCATAGTCTGGCTTTGCCAGTGTCCTTGTCCTGCCCTCTCAAATCAAAGGCAGGTTTGAGTGTCCTTGGGAGTAGGTGCCTACAGCCTTTGAGCAGGCAGAGGAGGGCAGGTTGGGCTCCAAAAACCACTGACCTTGCTGGCCTTTCTCCAGTGGGATGTTAGCTGGCAGGGAAGGAGGGGATTGAATGGGAAGGGATCCAGCTGAATTGCCCTTTTCCTGCAGGGATATCCAGAAGGCTCACAGGGTAGTGGCTGCTCTGAAGGCTGGGATGTGCTTCATTAACAACTACAATGTCAGCCCCGTGGAGCTGCCCTTTGGAGGATACAAGGCATCAGGTGAGCTCTCTTTGACCTTCCCTGCTACGAGTACGTGCCAGGTAGAGGGGGTAGCAGTGGCACCTGGCAGTGACCAGAGCTGTGTTCTCAATTCTGGCTTGTCCCTGCAGGGTTTGGCAGAGAGAACGGGCGGGCAGCCATCGAGCACTACACGCAGCTGAAGACTGTCTGTGTGGAGATGGGTGATGTGGAATCTGTGTTTTAGTGGCTCTGGGGCCTGCTCAGGGGACCATCACCAGTTCTTGCGGGGCAGCCAGAGATGTGGATCATTTACACAGCAATAAAGCACTCTACAATTTTAAGTGCTGGAGGGAACAGTGCTGAGCAGCCTTAGGCAGCCTGCTCCTGCAAGGGGCAGTGTGCACCCCGGGCTCAGGTTGTGGGCTTGCTCTGTCCTGCCCCCTGGGAGGGTGGGAGCCCCGGAGTAAGAGGCAGCAGCATGGCTTTCAGCAGCAGCACAGGCAGCTATGTAGGTGTTACCAGAGGCCTGGCCCAGGCTGTTTCCCCTGCTGCGTGCCTTTAACTCCACAGCCTCACACCCTCAGTCAGCTTAGGTTTTGGCTTCTTAACAAGCATGACCTTATTTGATGCACATAGAACCTCTTGGACACGCTGATACCCTGTAACTGTAGGCTCTCTTCTCTCACTACATAAAAGCCTTAATGCTAGAATTGTTTCTTCCTTCTAACCCCCTTGTAAAACAAGTTTTGTTTTTCCTCTCTGTGCCTCACTTCCAAGGTGGGACAAAATTCTGTGGGGATGGGTAGTTGGGACAGGCCATGAGAATAGTCTCCACAGGCCGAGCGCGGAGCACAGCTGGAGCTGTAGCAAGCTCCAGCACGGGGTGGAATGCTGCTGCTCTTCAGCAAAAGCTGTTTGTCTTCCCTCCTATAGGCCTACCATTCTTTATAACCATGATGAAGCAACAACTTTAAGTGTTTGACTACATCTTTTTTTTAGCAATTAAATAAACACTAACTCTGTTTGGAACATCTTTATCGCACAGTGACATGAATTGAGGGGTCCAGAAGCAGGGCTGCTGTTGTATGGGTTACAACAGGTTGCAAGATGGCTTTTGAGTCACTACTGTCCCAAAAGCTAGAACATCTCTGCCTGATGGGCAGATTTCTGGAGTCCTACAAAACCAGGATCATTCTAGCATTCTGCAGAACTTCTTAAAAAAGAAACCCTCTATAACTTTAGAATGAAAATACAGAATTGACAATTGCATTTTATTGAATGAGAAAAGAATAAAAGGAAAAAAAGGAAATGTTTTAAAAAGAAAACAAAACAAAAATCCATTTTATTTCCCAGGCAGACATCATGGTGGTTTTCATGCTCGTCTGCATCATAGTCTTCTGCAGGGTGTCTCGCAGACCCAGCCGAGGTGCTGGCAAGCCGAATACACGCCCGTGCCCAGCAGCCCAAGGAGGGCGACCGAACCGATGGCCCCTCTCCTTCGGTTTTTGGGTTCTGGAAAAAAGATGTGTTTTGTCAGTTCAGCAGCCCATCGCTGACACACTAGCCTGTCCTGAACCTTAAAGAGGGAGCAGGAACCTGGGATAGTTCTCCATGCAGACCAGCAGGCAGCAGCTCAGGCCCTGGACCTGCCCGCAGCCTGTGCAGTGATGAGACTAGCACTCTTCCTGTCGTCAGTAAAAGCACGCAGCAGAGTGGAGCAGCATGAGGACCTGCACCCCGTTCTCTTCACCCTCAATGGAAGCTTCCAGCTGCCTCCTCGATGGGAGCTGGAGGAGCCCTGAGGGCTGCTCTAGGAGACTTGAGTTTCCACGCCCCTGCTGTGGGCTGCAAGGTAAAGACCTACCTCCCGTGTAGTAGCCATGGGCGTAGAGGATTCTTCCAAGGATCCAGGTGATGCCAAGCCCTGTGGCAAGCCGCTAGAGAAACAAGGAGAAGCATTTAAATGTTCTAGAGTCTTGCTGCTTGCCTGTGGTTAGCTTTTATAGCAGCCCTGCTTCGATCAAAGAAGTGGCCAACAACTAGGATGTGGGTCCTGCCCTAGCTAGGACAACTGGGAGTCAGCAGGGGGGAGGTGGGTGGCTAACACGGGGTGTGGTGGGAGTTTTGTATCAGAGGAGTCGCTTTCATGGCATCTCTGGGGAGGATGCATGTCAAGCACTGCAGAGCCTTCCTCTTTTGCAGCACAGCTCTTCCCAAACAAGAAGAGGTGAAGTCACACAGGTGGCAAGTGCCAAATCTCACTTCACTGCTGTCCAGTTAATGTGCTAGACCAAGTGCCAGGATCTTGGGGGCAGCTGTTGCCCCCAGCTGCACTCCACTGCCTCAGGCAGGTGTATGGGTTTTCCTGTTGCAGGTGTTACAAGCTTCCTCCCTCTTAATTTAGAGCTTACTGCAGTATGGCTTCAGTTTGCCAGGTTTACCTCTGCTGCTTCCTTCCCTCTCTGAGAAGGAATATTCAGGAAAGACCTGATTTTGATTTTGGTGGCAAAGCAAGGGTTATTGGTTTGGGCCTCCCACACGCCTACCTCCTCATGAGCTGTCTACATCTTCCAGTCAAAAATAATCCACACTGTGTTTAGTCCTTTGTGCCTGTCCTTTGGTGGTGGAAGCAAATGAGAAGATGACCATGTTGCCCATTCATTCTTCTCACATAAACTCCTTACAAAAGTGTCTTCAGATGGGGGGGGAAGTTCTTGTCCTCCACACAACCAGCTGCTGAGTAGCACTGCTGTAAGTGCAGCAGGACCCTTTCAGGGCTTGGGAGAACTGAGCAGGGTTGGAGAGGCCCTTCCCACTCCTGAACTGGAGGCTCCAAATGCTTTGATGAGCCCAACAAGGCACCTTGGGGGAAGCAAAGGGGCCTAAAGCTGAAGCAGCACTAACGAGTTTATTAAATACTTGTGATTCCCCTGCACAAGACCACTACATTTTTGGAAGGGGC